AATAATGTGAAGGTGGCAGGACACAAGTGTCGATAATGTGAAGGTGGCAGGACACAAGTGTCAATAATGTGAAGGTGGCAGGACACAAGTGTCAATAATGTGAAGGTGGCAGGACACAAGTGTCAATAATGTGAAGGTGGCAGGACACAAGTGTCGATAATGTGAAGGTGGCAGGACACAAGTGTCAATAATGTGAAGGTGGCAGGACACAAGTGTCCAATAATGTGAAGGTGGCAGGGCACAAGTGGGCGATAATGTGAAGGTGGCAGGACACAAGTGTCGATAATGTGAAGGTGGCAGGACACAAGTGTCGATAATGTGAAGGTGGCAGGACATAAATGTCGATAATGTGAAGGTGGCTGGACATAAGTGTCGATAATGTGAAGGTAGCTGTACATTAGTGTCGATAATGTGAAGGTAGCTGTACATTAGTGTCGATAATGTGAAGGTAGCTGTACATTAGTGTCGATAATGTGAAGGTGGCAGGACATAAGTGTCGATAATGTGAAGGTGGCAGGACATAAGTGTCGATAATGTGAAGGTAGCTGTACATTAGTGTCGATAATGTGAAGGTGGAAGGACACAAGTGTCGATAATGTGAAGGTGGCAGGACACAAGTGTCAATAATGTGAAGGTGGCAGGACACAAGTGTCAATAATGTGAAGGTGGCAGGACACAAGTGTCAATAATGTGAAGGTGGCAGGACACAAGTGTCAATAATGTGAAGGTGGCAGGACACAAGTGTCAATAATGTGAAGGTTGGGAGGACACAAGTGTCAAAATGTGAAGGTGGAAGGACACAAGTGTCAATAATGTGAAGGTGGCAGGGGCCAAGTGTCAATAATGTGAAGGTGGCAGGACACAAGTGTCAATAATGTGAAGGTGGCAGGACACAAGTGTCAATAATGTGAAGGTGGCAGGACACAAGTGTCAATAATGTGAAGGTGGCAGGACCAAGTGTCAAAATGTGAAGGTGGCAGGGCACAAGTGTCGATAATGTGAAGGTGGCAGGACACAAGTGCAATAATGTGAAGGTGGCAGGACACAAGTGTCAATAAAGTGAAGGTGGCAGGTCACAAGTGTCGATAAAGTGAAGGTGGCAGGACACAAGTGTCAATAAAAGTGAAGGTGGCAGGACACAAGTGTCAATAATGTGAAGGTTGCAGGACACAAGTGTCAATAATGTGAAGGTGGCAGGACACAAGTGTCAATAATGTGAAGGTGGCAGGACACAAGTGTCAATAATGTGAAGGTGGCAGGACACAAGTGTCAATAATGTTTAAGGTGGCAGGACACAAGTGTCAAAAATGTGAAGGTGGCAGGACACAATGTTGATAATGTGAAGGTGGTGGACACAAGTGTCGATAATGTGAAGGTGGCAGGACACAAGTGTCGATGAGAAGGTGGCAGGACACACGTGTCGATTATGTGAAGGTGGCTGGATACAAGTGTCGATAATGTGAGGTGGAAGGGCACAAGTGTCGATAATGTGAAGGTGGCTGGACACAAGTGTCGATAATGTGAAGGTGGCAGGACATAAGTGTCGATAATGTGAAGGTGGCAGGACATAAGTGTCGATAATGTGAAGGTAGCTGTACATTAGTGTCGATAATGTGAAGGTGGCAGGACACAAGTGTCGATAATGTGAAGGTGGCAGGACACAAGTGTCGATAAAGTGAAGGTTGGCAGGACATAAGTGTCGATAATGTGAAGGTGGCTGGACATAAGTGGTCGATAATGGGGAAGGTAGCTGTACATAGTGTCGATAATGTGAGGTAAACTTACATTAGTGTCGATAAATGTGAAGGTGGCTGTACATTAGTGTCGAATATGTGGAGGTGGCAGGACAAAGTGCGATAATGTGAAGGTGGCAGGACATAAGTGTCGATAATGTGAGGGACTGTTTCATTAGTGTCGATAATGTGAAGGTGGAAGGACACAAGTGTCGATAATGTGAAGGTGGCAGGACACAAGTGTCAATAATGTGAAGGTGGCAGGGCACAAGTGTCAATAATTGAAGGTGGCAGGACACAAGTGTCAATAATGTGAAGGTGGCAGGACACAAGTGTCAATAATGTGAAGGTGGCAGGACACAAGTGTCAATAATGTGAAAGGGGGCAGGACACAAGTGTCAATAATGTGAAGGTGGAAGGGGCACAAGTGTCAATAATGTGAAGGTGGCAGGACACAAGTGTCAATAATGTGAAGGTGGCAGGACACAAGTGTCGATAATGTGAAGGTGGCAGGACACAAGTGTCAATAATGTGAAGGTGGCAGGACACAAGTGTCGATAATGTGAAGGTGGCAGGACACAAGTGTCAATAATGTGAAGGTGGCAGGACACAAGTGTCAATAATGTGAAGGGTGGCAGGACACAAGTGTCAATAATGTGAAGGTGGCAGGACACAAGTGTCGATAATGTGAAGGTGGCAGGACACAAATGTCAATAAAGTGAAAAGGGGACAGGACACAAGTGTCAATAATGTGAAGGTGCAGGTCACAAGTGTCGATAATGTGAAGGTGGCAGGACACAAGTGTCAATAAAAGTGAAGGTGGCAGGACACAAGTGTCAATAATGTGAAGGGCAGGACACAAGTGTCAATAATGTGAAGGTGGCAGGGCACAAGTGTCAATAATGTGAAGGTGGCAGGACCCCAAGGTCAATAATGTGAAGGTGGGAGGACACAAGTGTCAATAATGTTGAAGGGGGGCAGGACACAAGTGTCTATAATGTGAAGGTGGCAAAGGGAAAAAGTGTCAATAATGTGAAGGGTGGCAGGACACAAGTGTCAATAATGTGAAGGTGGCAGGACACAAGTGTCAATAATGTGATGGTGGCAGGACACAAGTGTCAATAATGTGAAGGTGGCAGGACACAAGTGTCAATAATGTGAAGGTGGTGGACACAAGTGTCAATAATGTGAAGGTGGCAGGACACAAGTGTCAATAATGTGAAGGTGGCAGGACACAAGTGTCAATAATGTGAAGGTGGCAGGACACAAGTGTCAATAATGTGAAGGTGGGAGGACACAAGTGTCAATAATGGAAGGTGGGAGGACACAAGTGTCAATAATGTGAAGGTGGCAGGACACAAGTTTTCAATAATGTGAAGGTGGCAGGGCACAAGTGTCAATAATGTGAAGGTGGCAGGACACAAGTGTCAATAATGTGAAGGTTTGGCAGGACACAAGTGTCAATAATGTGAAGGTGGCAGGACACAAGTGTCAATAATGTGAACGTGGCAGGACACAAGTGTCAATAATGTGAAGGTGGCAGGACACAAGTGTCAATAATGTGAAGGTGGCAGGACACAAGTGTCAATAATGTGAAGGTGGCAGGACACAAGTGTCTATAATGTGAAGGTGGCAGGACACAAGTGTCAATAATGTGAAGGTGGCAGGACACAAGTGTCGATAATGTGAAGGTGGCAGGACACAAGTGTCAATAATGTGAAGGTGGCAGGACACAAGTGTCGATAATGTGAAGGTGGCAGGACACAAGTGTCAATAAAGTGAAGGTGCAGGACACAAGTGTCAATAATGTGAAGGTGGCAGGACACAAGTGTCAATAATGTGAAGGTGGCAGGACACAAGTGTCAATAATGTGAAGGTGGCAGGACACAAGTGTCAATAATGTGAAGGTGGCAGGACACAAGTGTCAATAATGTGATGGTGGCAGGACACAAGTGTCAATAATGTGAAGGTGGCAGGACACAAGTGTCAATAATGTGAAGGTGGCAGGACACAAGTGTCAATAAGTGAAGGGGGCAGGACACAAGTGTCGATAATGGGGAAGGTGGCAGGACACAAGTGTCAATAATGTGAAGGTGGCAGGACACAAGTGTCAAAAATGTGAAGGGGGCGGACACAAGTGTCAATAATGTGAAGGTGGCAGGACACAAAATGTCGATATGTGAAAGGGGGCAGGGGACAAGTGTCAATAATGTGAAGGTGGCAGGACACAAGTGTCAATAATGTGAAGGTGGCGGGACACAAGTGTCGATAATGTGAAGGTGGCAGGACACAAGTGTCAATAATGTGAAGGTGGCAGGACACAAGTGTCAATAATGTGAAGGTGGCAGGACACAAGTGCGATAATGTGAAAGGGGGCAGGACACAAGTGTCAATAATGTGAAGGTGGCAGGACACAAGTGTCAATAATGTGAAGGTGGCAGGACACAAGTGTCAATAAGTGAAGGTGGCCCGGACACAAGTGTCAATAATGTGAAGGGGCAGGACACAAGTGTCAATAATGTGAAGGGGCAGGACAAAGTGTCAATAATGTGAAGGTGGCAGGACACAAGTGTCAATAATGTGAAGGTGGCAGGACACAAGTGTCAATAATGTGAAGGTGGCAGGACACAAGTGTCAATAATGTGAAGGTGGCAGGACACAAGTGTCAATAATGTGAAGGTGGCAGGACACAAGTGTCAATAATGTGAAGGTGGCAGGACACAAGTGTCAATAATGTGAAGGTGGCAGGACACAAGTGTCAATAATGTGAAGGTGGCAGGACACAAGTTCAATAATGTGAAGGTGGCAGGACACAAGTGTCAATAATGTGAAGGTGGGAGGACACAATGTCAATAATGTGAAGGTGGCCCGGACACAAGTGTCAATAATTTTGAAGGTGGCAGGACACAAGTGTCAATAATGTGAAGGTGGCAGGACACAAGTGTCAATAATGTGAAGGTGGCAGGACACAAGTGTCAATAATGTGAAGGTGGCAGGACACAAGTGTCAATAATGTGAAGGTGGCGGGACGAGGTTTTATTTATTAATGCAGAAAGAAAACAACCATTTCAAGGAATGAACAAATAATTAAAAAATCCGGCCTACTTTTACAAAAGTTTAGGAAATTTAGAGCAAGTTTAGCGGAAAGTTTTATGAGTAATTGGAGGAAGTTTCAGAAGATGATTTAATTATGTTGCAGAGAGATTTCGATAAATGTTTCACAGGGATTTGGAATAAGTTTTTGGGTGTTTTTGATGTCAGTCTTACCTTGTATGAGGTGGAGATGTAGTGTGCAAGTGTGGTGGTTGACGTGACTATAAGTAGGTCAGAGTATATGTTGGCAGTGAGTGAAGATAAGAAATCGATTGATAACACGGTAAAGACTAATTATCAGGTGGCGGAAATACCAGCAAGTGTTGCAATAGTGAAGGAAGTTAATTTCCACATCGTTACTTAAGTATGACGAGAGATTTTTTTATGAATGGAGGGACCATATTCTTTATAAATTTTAGGAATCAAGTGAAAATGCAGTTGTTAATCTCACTTTTAATTATAAACTCAAAACAACATCATCTATATATGTTGAGCTGCTTGGTTTCAAGTGTAATATTTCAGTAATTAAATACGCTATGAAGTTTTTTTAAAGTAATACCGGATTAACATCTAGAATACACCAATACATAAAGGTGGGGACCCTACAGACTTAAACAACTATAGGCCAATATCAAACTTACCATTGCTATCCAAAATCTTTGAGAAACTCGTGCACAGGAGACTATATTCATTTATAACAGCACAAAACATACTCAACCCCTGCCAATTTGGATTCAGGAAAAATAAAAGCACTAATGATGCAATCATAAAAATGCTAGATCTGCTTTACACAGCATTGGAAAATAAGGAATATCCACTAGGATTTTTTATTGACCTAAGAAAAGCTTTTGACACAGTAGACCACGACATCCTACTCCACAAACTTGACCATTACGGTATAAGAGGCCATGCGTTTGCTTATTCCAAATCTTACCTTAATAATAGGTATCAGTATGTCACCATTAAAGACACAGCATCAACAATACGGCCACTTGATACTGGAGTTCCACAGGGAAGTGTCCTTGGTCCCCTGCTCTTCCTCATATACATCAATGATCTTCCAAACGTATCCCAACACCTGAAACCCATTCTCTTTGCTGACGACACGACTTACGTCATCTCTCACCCTAATCTTGCCACCCTCAACACCATTGTTAACGAGGAGCTGATCAAAATATCGACTTGGATGACAGCCAATAAACTTACGCTTAACACTGACAAAACCTACTATATTATGTTTGGTAGCAGAGCAGGAGATGCACAAATTAACATTAAGATCGACAACACTCTAATTACCAGACATAATGAGGGCAAATTCCTAGGCCTATACCTTGACAACAACCTGAATTTCAGCACCCATATCCAACACATAACCAAAAAAGTATCCAAAACGGTTGGGATCCTCTCCAAGATACGATACTACGTGCTGCAAACTGCCCTTATCACACTATACCATTCACTTATATATCCATACCTCACCTATGCTATTTGTGCTTGGGGATCAACTGCAGCAACACACCTAAAGCCAATAATAATCCAACAAAAAAGCTGCAGTAAGAATAATCACTAAATCCCATCCCTGGCAACACACCCCCCTACTCTTTATAGATCTAAACTTACTCCCTGTTCAGTACATCCACACTTACTACTGTGCAATCTACATCTACAGGACCTTAAACTCCAATATCAACCTTGACCTAAAACGCTTTCTTGATAGTTGTGACAGAACCCACAGGCATAACACCAGACACAAACATCTCTACGACATTCCCCGTGTCTGACTAAACCTTTACAAAAATTCAATGTATGTCAAAGGCCCTAAAATCTGGAACACCCTACCTGAGAACTCTAGAACTGCAGACACATTCATCACCTTCAAAACTACCATTAGAAAACATCTTTTCCCTGATACACCCCATCAACTAACTACACGAATACCACCTGGTGGTTCACACTTACACTCACTCACCCATTTGACCATAAACAGAAATATTAATCTCAATCTTAAAATAATGAATCCTATGATACTCCAATACTGAAACTATGTACTGTGCCAAAACAAAAGCTAAACTCACAAACTAGTATTTAGTCACTTAGCCATAATACCAACTTACCTCATAATTTGTAATATTTTAAAATAAAAAATTAAACTAAGTCTTCCCGAAATGCCTAGCCATGCTAGGCGTTCTAGTGGTACACTCTGTAATCATTATTTAACTACATGTAAACTACACAACAACCAAATTCTGTAAATTCAACATTGTAATCTTTATAGAGAATAAACTTTGAATTGAATTGAATTGAATGTAGCCAGGAATGGTATAGACATCTGTAATATCAGTCTTAAGCCAGGTTTCTGTGAGTGTGATGATTGTTATATTGGAATGAAGGGAACTGAGTAATGCTGTGAGGTCATCATAATGTTTGCTCAAGGATCTAACATTGTAGTTAAAGATGGTTATGTTATTGTTTGCACTGAGTAATGTCTTTGCTTGGTCTGCTGTGTAGTAATTACAGTTACTGGTTGATTCATGTAATTCATATTATAAAAAGTTTACATCAGGATCTATGACTGTAATCATAGGATGAGAGTAATTTTACAAGCTAGATTTTCTGAGTAAAATTATATAAGATTTATATTGAATCTACAACTAGACTTATGACTAAGACACTGTGACTAATCTAAAACTTGTAAAAATTTGAAAGAAAAGGGGATTATTACAGAATTGATAATTCAGTTATACACTTAAGTATCTAATAGCACCTTAGTTATTTTAACAAGTGAGTTTATGAACTACAGTAGATATTTACAGCTAAAATAAAGGAGCTAATGGATATAATAGTAAAAGAATGTATTAAAAGCAAAATCAGTAGCACCTGAGGTAGTCTATAGCACCTGGAGTATTTTAATGGCAAAACAGTGAACTTATTACACTTTAGCACCTCAGAATAGCACTTTGATTATTTTAACAATTGTGAATATATGAATTAAGGTAGTTATATAAAGCTAAAATAAAGGAGAAAATATATAAGGGACTAAATTAAGTAATGATGAACAAAGTTCAATGGACAGATAGTCACTATGATATAATATTGATTTGGGAGTAAGATCTGAATGTAACGTATAATAAGTTGAGCAATTAATTGCACTATAGAAAGTAGAGAAATATGAGGTAGATGGTACTAGCTGGTACTAGCTAGCACTAGCTGGTACTAGTTAGCAAAAGATAATTTTGGGACTCACACAATAATGTAATTGGAATATACACTAATTGCTCACATAATATAAAGGGAATTAAAAAGTAGTGGTAAGCTGAATTAAATGGACAGGTAGCAACATGAATAACATTAATTTGGAGTAAGATTTGACTTGCAACACAAAATTATGAGCAATTAAAAGCAATTAAAAAGTAAAAAGTATTTGAGGCAGCTGGTATTAGCTAGTAAAAGAAAAAATAATAATGCGCAATAATGTAATAGTAAATAATAATAATGCACAATAATGTAATAGTAAATAATAATAAAGCACAATAATATAATAGTAACTTACACTATATGCACCACACTTATATATGTGTTAAGGTCACTTATCTAATCTGTTACAAAAATGTCAGCTTTTCTAAGGAAGGTAGAGAAATCTTGTTCATTTGAGATGATGTATTGTTTTCCTGTTGATGTTTTTCTAATTAGTATTTTCCAATCTCGAGTGAAACACTGATGTATTTTGTTTTCCTGTTTAAGTTTTCTCAACCTGAACAGAAGGTTTTAACGTTTTCTCGTTAGACACTCGTTGATGAACACTCCATTTTTCTTGTTAGACACTCGTTGGTGAACACTGCATTTTTCTTGTTAGACACTCGTTGATGAAACACTCCATTTTTCTTGTTAGACACTCGTTGATGAACACTCCATTTTTCTCGTTAGACACTCGTTGGTGAACACTGCATTTTTCTTGTTAGACACTCGTTGATGAACACTCCATTTTTCTTGTTAGACACTCGTTGATGAACACTCCATTTTTCTTGTTAGACACTCGTTGATGAACACTCCATTTTTCTCGTTAGACACTCGTTGGTGAACACTGCATTTTTCTTGTTAGACACTCGTTGATGAACACTCCATTTTTCTTGTTAGACACTCGTTGATGAACACTCCATTTTTCTTGTTAGACACTCGTTGATGAACACTCCATTTTTCTCGTTAGACACTCGTTGGTGAACACTGCATTTTCTTGTTAGACACTCGTTGATGAACACTCCATTTTTCTTGTTAGACACTCGTTGATGAACACTCCATTTTTCTTGTTAGACACTCGTTGATGAACACTCCATTTTTCTTGTTAGACACTCGTTGGTGAACACTCCATTTTTCTTGTTAGACACTCGTTGGTGAACACTCCGTTTTTCTCGTTAGACACTCGTTGGTGAACACTCCATTTTTCTTGTTAGACACTCGTTGATGTACACTCCATTTTTCTCGTTAGACACTCGTTGATGTACACTCCATTTTTCTCGTTAGACACTCGTTGGTGAACACTCCATTTTTCATTGTAATTGCTGATTTAATTAAGTCCTTTCTTTTATCATATGAATGAAGTCTGATCATGACACTGTGTTTACTACCTGGTTTTCCTAACAAACGTGTTTCTTTGATTCATTGTTTTGCACGATGACTTGTACGTTGTCCTGTATTATCCTGACAGTAGTTTCTTTGCACTGTTCTTGGGTTATGTCACTAGGAATGTGTGGACTGTTTATTATAACTGCATCAGACAACTTATCTTGTTCAGTTTTGTTGTCTTGGAAATCAAGGTATTCATTCAGTCGAGTGTGCATGTTCTGATTCCAGTCCTTGATTGCTTCTTCAACCTTCATATTTTGGGTTGTTATTTGTTCAGTGTGACTGGCTATAGCTGTTTTCTGAGTATTTTCTGTGTCAGCACTTCCTGAGGTAATCTTCTCTTCAAGGTTTTGGATCTTGTTCTCGAGGTTGGTTATCTTGGATTCTCGTCGCTTAAGTGTTGCTTTAATATCTTTGATTTCGTTTTCTAGAGCAACGATGTAGTCCTTGATATTGTCAGGAATAATCATACCTGAGTTATCAAGGGTGAATCCTTTGAAGGAAGTGGAGCTGGAGGGGGAGTCAACCATGTTTGTTGTTGTTGTTCTCTGGGCTGTAGTGGTGAGGGGGGTTGTTGTTCTCTGGGTTGTAGTGGTGAGGGGGGTTGTTGTTGTTCCTTGGGTGGTGGTGGTGAGGGGGGTTG